CCACCGGGCCGGCCCACAAATCACTCTTTTGTCCACCAGTTCATTTAAACCTAAAAAGTTGGTGAAGCAAGCAAAAATAGATATTATCATCACTTTTTTTTTTTTTGCAGCTGGCTGGTATGGGGATCCAAACCCTTAACCTTGGTGTTATAAAACCTGTTTAACCAACTCAGCTAGCCGGCCAAACCTATTATCACCATTTTGAATATAAGAAAATGGAGGATCGGATATTTTCCCAAGGACTATCTAGGTCTCTCATCTGGTCTTGCCTAAGGTCAATGCTCTTTCCACTTCAACAGTCTGCGGAATGATGCTGGGGACCTTTCACAAGCCTCACAGAGGTCGGTAGAGAAAACACATCCTTCCATTCAGTGTAGGCATAAGTCCTCACATTCAAGTCACATCCCTATAAAGGAAACTGGGTAGCAGCTGTGCAAAGCACCCAGGACAGTGACAAAAGGTAGGTCAAAAAAGAGGTGAGCACCCAGGATAGGACAGGAACACAGGTACAACTGACTACACCACCCCTTCAATTAGCAAGAGCTGAGGTTAAGAAAAGCGTATTCAATAAAAGGTGAAGTTGCATCTCTAACTGCCTCTAACCTGTGCTATTATGTCTCCTGTTTTTCCTTTACCAATTTATCCTACATAATAGATTAAGCTAATTATCTAAATGAGCTATTCAAAAAATCTCAATAACTCCCCTTCATCTAACAAATTAAGTTCAAGCTCCTTAGCCTGGATTCAGACTTCAAGGAACTGATCTCAACCTGGCTTTCCAATTTCCCTTCAAACACCCAGATTACTCCCCAAACTCATCCCTCTCATACCTATCTCCTGAGATAAGCTTCCCTTCTCCAATCCAAATCTCACCCATCTTCTTAAACCTTATTCAAATACTTCCTCCTGTAAGAAATCTTTCCTAATTTCCCTCCTTAACCTGCACAGCACTTGACCACAAACATCCATTCTCCTAAATTTTCAGTAACAAATTCTCTTATTTTCTCTCCCACTGCACTGTCCTATGCATCTCTGACTCATTGTCCAAGATAGCAACCTCAGAACTTCTGACCTCAATGAAATCTCAGAGGTTATGTCAGTTCAGCGGTTCTCAGAGTGTGGTCTAGGGACCTGTGAGAGTGCCCAAAACCTTTTCCAGGGGTCCACGAGTCCAAAATTATTTTCATATATTAAAATATGCTTGGTTTCAGATCCCCCAACCAGCCAGCCACACCAAAAACAAACAAAAAAAATCCTTTACCATTTTCACCCTTATTCTCTCACAAGTGTACAGTGGAGTTTTTCAAAGACTCCATGACATGTAATATTGCAACAGACTACAGAAATAGATTAGAATCCAGCTGTCTTCTTTCAAGCCAGACACTACAGCCACTTGCAAAAATGTAAAACAAAGCCACTCCTTTCACTGTCTTTTCAGTTTTGGGAAAATATAATTATTTTTAAAATTACTTATGCCACAGAACTATACACTTAAAAAGGCCTAAAATCACAAATTGTATGTTATGTATATTTTACCACAATAAAAAAACTACATTATGGGGCCGGCCC